AAATTATCTAGGAAATTATTTAAGGTAGAAGAACGGAAGTTTCACCATTTTATAGAGAAATGTTTTTCTACATTTTTAAAATTTAAATAATTTCGAAAAAAACTTGAAAATTCCGAGATATTTCGACTTTTTGTCAAAAAAGTAGTAGATTTCCAGCGAAATTCTACAAGAAAATCAAATTATCTCGAAAACTATTCAAGGTAGTAGAACGGAAGTTTCACCATTTTGTAGAGAAAAGTTGTTCTCTACTTTTTTGAATAATTTCTAAAAAACATTAAATTTCCAATCTAATCTAATGATGAAATAACGTCACCGTTGACGATTTACATTTGTGCAGAAATATGAAGAGTTTTTGAAAGTTTAATTGAACAAGAAAATTGGTATAAAGAATCTGGCAACATCGCACCGAACGGATCCACTTCCTCATTCCTGCGACTGCGCGTGCGCAATACGAACCGGCATCGGGGGATTTGTTTTGTTCCGATCGAAACACGATTTCAAGAATTATTTTCCTTCTTTTCTTTTTAGGCCTCAGCTACTCACTATTGGTCCTTTTAAAATTAACGCGCTTGCGTATAAACGACTGCACACCACGGACGGTCGGATCTCTCTCTTTAATCGCTACGATTTTCTCTCATGGAATAGATAGGGAGTTAGCAGTATATACTAATAGGTATATGTTTGGGACGCGCGAATTTCTGGTAGCTGGATGCCTGAAAAGGAAGAGTCCAGTTTTCGTAGTCGGATGTGAATGTAGGTACTTATTATAGGCAACCAAGATTACGTGAATATTGGCTTGTATTCGGCGCTTTATTTTAAATGTAAAAGAGGCGTTTTCAACTTGACAGTTTTAGATTGGTTGTTATGGAGTAACTAAGGACATTTTTCAATTGATAATTTTACATTGGTTGTTATGGAGTAACTAGAGAGATTCTTTCATTATTTGACAGTTTTACATTGATGTTATGGAGTAACTAGGGATATTCTTTTATTATTTGACAGTTTATCATTGTTATGGAATAACTAGGGAGACATTTTCAATATTTGACAGTTTTACATTGTTGTTATGGAGTAACTAAGGATATTCTTTTATTATTTGACAGTTTATCATTGTTATGGAATAACTAGGGAGATATTTTCAATATTTGACAGTTTTACATTGTTGTTATGGAGTAACTAAGGATATTCTTTTATTATTTGACAGTTTATCATTGTTATGGAATAACTAGGGATATATTGTCATTATTTGACAGTTTTACATTGTTGTTAAGAAGTAATTATAGGGAGATTTTTTCATATGATAAATTTTACATTGGTTGTTATGAAGTAACTAAGGATATTCTTTCTTCCATTTAGAACGCTCCAGAATAATTTAAAACCATTTAAGACAAGAATTCAGTACTCACAAAATATTTTATTCGATAATAGGCAACTAAATTACACCTAGGCATTTTACGCCTATTATTTTCAGAGTACCAAACTCTAGCCTTAAAACGCACCAGAAATTGGAAACGTTTCTTTATTGCAAAATATTTTTCAATAATCATGTTATTTTAATTTAACCTTTCGTTTCTAAATAATTTTCTTCTTATCTTATCACCATCCTCCTCGTAATCATCATCATCTTCCTCATCCTCGTAAGTATAACAATTGAATTGAGCTTAATCATCATCATTATCATCATCACAGTTATCATCATCGTACCCACCGGCTTGAACTTGTCTACCGAATTTACGATTCAGAGCTAAAAAAAAAATAACAACAGATACAAAAAGTGCCCCCCAAATTCAATTCAATTACAAGACACTTCAAATCTTTTAATTTGCGACGTCTCAAATTCGCATTTAAGACAAAATTATTTTTTTTATCTTTACCTATTTGAATACTTTTCTTCGCACGTGATCTTCGCAGTAACACGTCTTGCATCGCAGACTGAAATATTAACCTAAATTATTGCAAGATTGGCCTACAAATTATTTACAAGTGTGAGTATAATCATTACGAGTAATTGTATTTGTACTTACAATTGTAATTATTGATTATTATCGTTCTCGATTAACTTCCACGAAGATCTGAATGTTTGAAATTGATCTTTATTGTAGAGAAATTTGTTGTAAAACGAGCACCGAAATTTCATTCTTTTTGGAATATCTCCACAATTAGTCTCCTTTAGGGGTCAATAGGACGTTTCGTAGAAGTCGAAAATTGCCCTCCGGATGAATCAAAAGATGATTTTCTTCCTCGAGTAACTTCCAAGAAGGTCTGAATGTTCGAAATTGATCTTCATTGTAGAGAAATTTGTTGTAAAACGAGCACTGAAATTTCATTCTTTTTGGAATATCTCCATAAATAGCCTCCTTCAGGGGTCACTAGGACGTTTCGTAGAAGTCGAAAATGGCTCTTCAGATGAATTGAAAGATGATTTATAGTCGAGTAATTGATTAAAAAGTACTTTTACCATTTTACGTTTTCTTTTCCGGCATTTTTAGAAGTTTTCTTCCCTAAATTTCCTATTTACTCTTCGATTATTCCGAACCTAACCTCAAATGTCACTCGTCTACTGTCATTACTGTCAAATTTGTAAGAAGCTTCAGTTGACGGTCATATATTATAAGGTCTGGAAACTTGAATTTGCGTAGTTGCTAAATCGACCGGTAGGCATCAATGTTGTAGAGGATATTTTTTGGATTCAACATTTAGCTTGTTACAGGTTGCCACAATTTGGATGTTTACAGAGCTTATATTGAAGTAAACTATTATAAACATCTTCATTCAACTAGATAACGCCAATAACACAAGTCGAGTTTCCAGACCTTGTAGTATACGATCGTGCTTTTGTTTATTGGCCAATTCTTTGCACCGTTTTCGTTTTAGTGATTTTTTTAAGATATAAACAGATAATAGTACTAAATAGTACCTATTTTGTCTACGGTGTATGTACATACGACAATTCTCTCCTCAATTTCCTCGACCTTTTACCTGTTATATCAATTGAGCCGATTGAGGGTTTGTGATTGGTCATCCTCACATAGGGTAATCCCAGATAAAGAGAGGAATATTTGGCAACGTCGCATTTTCCACAAATTCCACAGCACAGAGCTTTTTTACTTCTTTCTTCACTGGAAGTCTGAATCTGAACTCCCTGTATCTGTTCGAGTGCCTTACTAAATTAAAACGTAGTGAGAAATTAATTCATCGAGATTAGTTACTGTTTCAGTTGTGTTAATTGAATCACCGGAAAAATAGCAAAGGTCTGTATAATTATTACATAAATTATAAGTTTATTTAGGTGTTAAATAGTTAAAATATCGATAAATATTGTTTTTATTAAATCATCAATATCGTAGAAATGGCTTTATAAAACACAATTGTCTTTTATATACTGAAATAAATGATTATTTTAATTCACTTTAACTATAATTGGAGGACACTTCTGAACTATCCAAAGACTAAAAGAAGGAATTCAATTTTTTATAATATTTTCGTTAGTAAATTTTCTCATAAAAAAATGGCGACTCGGTAGGTAATTAAAAAAAAGAAAACAAATATCGAGTCACGTACAGTTTTGCTTATAATGCAAACTAAACAGGAAGATGTATTTTTGCTTAATAAACTATTTCTTTCTTTTCAACAATAAGTTGTATCGATTATTTCGTTTATTCAAGTTGATCGTTAAATATTCGGTGAAGCACCGGCAGACATGTTGCTTTTTTTATTAGAAAATTCTATTTTTATTTTCTTTTCCCAACACAAGCTTTTTCCCCACGTTTATGGTACGGTAAAATCATTTTGTAGCCAGTCTAGCAGGCGGTCTACCATAATTTTTGCGGTCTACCCATACATATTTCGTCGTCCAAGTAAATTTAAATACTTTGACAGGTGTCATATTTTGCAAAATTGATGTACTGGTTGTGAAACATGTCTCACAAAACTGCAAATATTAAATTTGTCCATTTAAACTTTTTTTTCTATTTCCAAACAGATTTATGTATAGTAAACATCGAAAGAAAAACTCAACCTCCATAATTCTGATTCCTCCGCAATTCTCAATAAATTAAATTACTTACTTGCTCTTCCAAACATAAATTATTATATACTCGTAATACTGGGTGAATAATATGAATGAAAAATAGCCCCTTTAAATACAAAATACAAAAATTAATGGGCTAATAATTTTTAAACGCCTAATCATAAAACTTGCGGTTTTCGAAGATATATTTTAATTTGCTATAACTTTTTGTTACAGTAACACAAAAATTTCGTATCGCCTGTACAGGGTGTTTCATAAAAATCTCCTCTTTTAAATTCACATTAACAAAATTTTATGAAATAGGACATTTTCTTTTCTAGAATAACATGTACAAATAATACATTTTCGAAAAGTAGAAGAGTATATCATTCAAAATACCTCTATATATACGGGGTGTTCCATTTAAAAAAAATTTAGTAACTGTGAATTTAAAAGAGGACAGTTTTATACAACACCCTGTATTGGTAATGCATAATTTCTGTATCACTGTAACAAAACTTGTAATAAAAAAAAAAGATTTTTGAGAAATCCGCATGTTTTTATGATTAGGCGTTTACAAATTATGAGCTCATTATAGGGGCTACTTTTTATTGGAACACCCTGTACTTGTAAAATCTTTTCGTTTGTTTAATGAAGATACCTAGGTATATTTAAGTTTAAATAAATACTGGTACTTATCCCTAATTTTGTGTAAATTGAATTAACCACATGCTATTCTATAAATAATAACAATAACATTTTTTTTCTCTAGCTTTATGTTGAGTCAATTTTCAAAATCTTGCTGTTGTACTTTGTAATAAATACTTTGTATAAAAAAATTAGGTAGACCGCTCCCGCTACTCTTATTACATCTATTCTTTATATTTTATAGAACTTTTATTATGCCTGTTCAAATAAGCTTCGGAATACTTACTGGTAAGTAGGCAACTTATTTTACATTTCTTCAATTCAAATTGACTCTCCATTACAGTCAGCGACAGCAGTTATGCGGGTAAAGGCAATGATTCATCAAGTCCTAAATTAAAAGAAGAAATATTAAAGGAGTTTCCATCGGCCGAAATAATCGCAATAAAAATCGTACCAGACGATTTGCAGGAAATTAAATCGACTCTAACAGAATGGTTCGACTTGAAAATTAACGTAATATTCATAACAGGCAATTTACCAGACATGATCTTTGCTATGATCACCAGTAGCTTGAAGATCATTCCAATTGCGATGCTCTCCAGACCCTTGAGCGGTATTAGAGACAACACGATGATAGTAAATCTGCCGGGAAGCCCCGAAATGGTTTCGGAATGCTTCGGTATTATCAAGGAAGCCTTACCCCTCGCTTTGGAGCTCCTAACAGAACAAAACAAATCTGTGGTTTCTGGTCACGGAGCCATTCTGAGCGACTCAGGAGCATCCGTTGTCCCAACCACCAGCCTTAGTAAGGTAATTTATAAAATTAACAGTCGACATCAGCGAAGGTACTATTACTCAATTCGAATTTGTCTTTATTTTCGTAGGTGAAACTGGCTCCATTAAGAAAATACTGCTACCCTATTATCGATATTAAAGTTGCTTCTGCTATTATTAAGGATATTTGTTCTGATGAAGAGGAAACCACAGAAACGGTGCCTTTGGAGAGATCGCCTAATCGAATTGCAGCAGAAGATTTTCGTGCTGAAGAATCGATTCCTTTATTTGTAACTTCGATTATAGATGGTTACGCTGTTAAAAGGAGCTATGGCGGAGGAATACGTGTTGTAAAGAATGTCGCAACTGCAGGAGATAAGGTGTGTAGATTACATTTACAAGATTTCTAAATAATGAGCTCATTAGAATTGTAATAAATTAAGTTTGTAATTTTGCAGCCAATCGATGAAGTTCTGCAGTCAGGCGAAGCGATAAGAATATCGATGGGAGATCCAATTCCTGCGGGAGCAGACGCAGTGGTACCAGTGAAAGATACATCAGTTGTTGAATATTCGATTGAAGTAATTAAGGTGAAAATCAAAAGAACACCCGACTACAATGAAAACATAAGGTAAGGGAAAATTTTTAAATACAATTGTGGTATATCTAGTAATTTTTTTTAGAGAAATCGGAAGCGACGTATCGAAGAATTCTTTGGTTTTAAAAAAAGGCGAAAGTATCAAACATTTCTCTCTTGGAGTTTTAGCCATGTTAGGAAAAACAAATATTTTGGTTTATAAGTATGTTGAAATATTCAGTTTCATAAAAGTTCCCTCCTTTACTTTAATACATTTTTTTCTAGACGCCCTTCTATAGGAATCATATCAATTGGCAATTATATTTGTGAACCTAAAGAAGAACTAACCCCTGGCAAAATCAAAGATGCAAATAGATTCACCTTAATTAATTTGCTTAAAAATTACCGTTATAAATCAAACGATTGTGGTATAGCTAAAGACAAGTAATCCTGATGTATTTGATACTTTTTTAATACAATAATTTTTAGTCCTGATGCAATAAAGCAAGCTCTTGAACAAAGTTTTACTTGTAACGATGTTATTATAACGAACAGTTCAATGGGAGAATTGGACATGTTGAAACGGGTCCTCGTTGAGGATTTTCAAGCTACTATACATTTTTGCAGGATAGACATGAAACCCGGGTAAGTCAAAGTTTCGTAACTTTAAAGATTTCAAAGATTAAATGATTATCATTGTGTTATAGAAAATAAACGACCTTTGCGACACTTATGTATAATGAAACATTGAAAATCGTGTTTGGCCTAACGGGTAATCCATTTTCCTGTGCAATAACTTGTATATTATTCGTTATTCGTGCCCTACGCTTAATGGAAAAATCTCCCTACGACGGTTTTGTACCTATTTCTGTGCCACCAAATTCATTTAATATAGTAAGTAAAAATTTTGTTAACAGTGAAATAATTATATTCGAAATACGTTTTGTTTAAAATAACTAAGCTCCACTTTTTCTTAAAAACTTGATTTCTTTAATATAATCCGTTCGCTATCAGGAGATACTAATAAAACCTAAATTTGCAAATAATATGAAAAGTAGGTAATTAATATGGAAAACACATCAGGAGCGAATTAATGAAAAAAATCATAAAATTCCAAAACGTTACAGCTTTTACCATTGTATAATAGTTTATTTTACTTTATTAGTTCTCTCAGTATACAGGGTATTACCTGTTACTAGGTTGTATTTATTTGTTAGTGCCCCTATAAATTACTGCTTTATTATTTTTTTACTATTTCTTGATAGAAAACATAGTATAGAATATAATATTACAATAAATTTCATTTTTTAGCCTTCGTTACCATATAATTATGATGATTGTCCAGAGTATCGACTAGTTAAAGTAAATAGGACTTTGACTGGAATGACAACTGCAGAGGAAGTACCAAGCGTATTAAGTAATTTAGATAAAGCAAACGGTTTACTTATAGTTGAGCCAAAGAAAGATTACTTCAGTAAATATTCAAATGGAGATTATCGCAATCTTTACAGTGTAATATTATTTCATGAGAATTATTATCAGTGAAATGGGCTGTATTATTAAATCCAATCTCTGTTTTTTTTCTAATTTCACTTTAAAATAATACCAATACGTTCTTTTGATCAGTTAACAGTTGTTTTAATTTTTTCAGTTTCAGTTTATAATAAAATATTTAATTAGTATTTTTGCTTTATTTAACCCTTATTGAAAGATTGTTTGTTGTGTTCTGTAAATACGAGCCCAGTCGCATATGAATTGGATCAAAACAAATATTCTACACAATATTATTTTCCCGTGTAAACAGTTATTTTATATTAATATCAAATAGTTAGATAGTATCCGATCAATTAGTAGTAGCAAAATTACTGTTAACTCAAAAAAATAAAATTGTGTAGAATATTTGTTTTGGTGAATATTATATTTTTTACGAGAGTATTGTTTGTTGTATTATATTGACTAAGTTCATATAAAAATTGATCCACAAACGCTTCATTACCGATCTACCGAAATTTCAAATTTTATTTTGATATTTTTTGAGCTCCTGCAGTTTTGGAGATATTATCCAATTGTTCTTCACAAATCGCTTTTAAACGTCTTTTAAACTGCTTCAGAATTGCTCTTCTAAAACCGGTTCTAAATCGCTCTAAAATTGTTTTATAACCGCTCTAATTGCTTGCTCTTCTAAGCCCTCCAAAGATTTTGTAGAAGATCCTGTGTCCCCTATAAACATCCCAATTTTGTAAGATTCTCCCTTGCTTGGATTAACAATCCTTTTACAATTTAATCATACTATTTCAATTTTTACACAATATGACATCCGTCATATCGTGCTTGTGATAGTGCTTGGAAGTTCTAAAATAGTAATATTTTAATTAATAATTACACCTTTACAACAGACATTTCTCGACCATTAAAAACAGAAAATTGCTTACATTTGCTGATATCAGCATTTCCTGTGCATTCGGAAACTGAACGTACTGGAGAATCAAATTTGCCAACGAATCCACAATGGTTTTAAATACTCCATGGGCAGTGCTTCTTGCGAGTCCAAATCTATCCCCTGCAGCTAAGAAACACTCCGGTTTCCGATGGTCCATAGAGAAAATAATTTTTTTATCAAAGTCAATATTGACCCTATTGTGAGCAATATTGTTTCCCAGCATGTTGAGTAGGTTCTGAAATTTTATTAATGATCAACATATTTAATATTTTGTAATTGAGAAACATACCTGAAAGGCTCCTCTACTCATTTGAAAATGTTCTTTGAAAAGATCATCTGAGAATCTTGGGACGATCACTTCAACGAAATCATCATTCATAGGTTTCCTTACTCGTGGATTTCCTTCTAGATTATCATTTCCAATTGGTTCATCGAGACCCAATATCAATGCATTTAGAACATCCATATTATCGTCATCGTTATTACCATCGTGCGCCAAGGCTATAATATTTGCAAGAATATTATTTTCACCTTCAGCCATTATTAATATCTCAATTATAGCAGGATAAGGATTAAACAGTATAATAACAAAACATTTATTTCACCTTCAACCTTTGATAGATGGAGGCGGATGAGGAAGAAAGTACTTTGGAGATTGTAAAATGGTAGAAAATGATTTAGGTTTAGGAATAGGAGCTTTGGAAATGGTTTTTTTTGGTCATTTTGTTGAAAATTGTCTATTAGTTTTTTCTAGGGTATTGTGGGTCTATTAGGAAACTTTCTGTTGAATAAATCTATTCCAAATCTATTCTAAAAAGTTTTAAATTATTCTAAACAGTTCTTAATGCTTCTGGAGCATTCTAAATTGTTCCAGACGGTTCTAATTCATTCGCTACAGTTCTAAATAATTCTAGACATTTCTAAATGATTCTGGGTTGTTGTAAATGATTCTAAAAAGTTCTAAATTATTCTAAACAGTTCTTAATCTTTCTGGGGCATTATAAATTGTTCTAGGCGGTTCTAAATCATTCTTTACAGTTCTAAATGATTCTAAAGAGTTCTTAATGATTCTGGCGTGAGCAAAAACCTTCATTACTTATAAAAATTGTTTTTAAAAAATTTAATTCTTCACTAAAGACTATAAAAGTTTCAATGTACTATTTTTATGATAATTATTTTAACTATTTGAAATCCATTCAAAACCATTTCTACCTCGAAAAAATACAATCTAAGAACTGATATGAACTGAACAAAAGTGTTCTTACAAAGTTAACAAGAATTTGGTCCAGGACAATTTAGAGTGCTTCTGGATGCATTAAAACTAGTTCAGAACAATTTAGAGTACTTCAAGATCAGAACTATTATTGCATTAGAACTATTAAAAACTTAAATTTAATCGAAATCCAAGCATTAATATTTAGAAAAACAAATGTCGCTACAAGTTTAAAAAAATCTATTTGAACTCGAGTGGATGAATAAATATTATTTTGATAATATTCGTTAACTCCCTAGAAGACATTGGCGGCAATGAATAAATATTATTTTAATAAGGTTTATGTAAAATTTCTATTTTTAATAAGGATGTTAAGAAAATCTTTTATTGATCACCAAACGAAAATATTATAATAAATGTTCGATATACAGGGTGACCCAGGGTCGCGTTAAAGTCCCATAACTTTTTACCTAATTGAGATATCGACTTGATTTTTTTTCAAAAGGTAGGTACAATAATACTGCATATTATTAAAATAGTTTCGTCTATATACAGGGTGGCTCAGTATTAGAAATTCACTAAAGTTACCTTTTTTTTAATGGAACCCCCTATATATTATAACATTTTTGAATTCTTTAGTGAATTTTAGTGTGACTTTATGTACCATACATTGTACCTAAAACCAATCGTTTAGTGGCAATTCGAAATTTTCGAAAAAAGTAGAGGTTTGAAAAAAAATGAATATTGCCGTTTGTCCAGTTTGCCAGTTTGTCAGTTTGTCCAGAATTTTTGTTTATCCAAAAATTTCTCTCTATACCTATCATCTCAATCTAAAAATTAATATTTCTCAAAAAACGTTAATTTTATCGACTTTAAATAAAATTACTTTTTTGTTAGTTTTTCGATTAAATAATGTATTTAAGGTAATCGATTGTACCCATAAGTTAATCGAATTGTTAATCACTGTGAACACGCCGCCACTGTCTTTTAGGGAGTAGTGTAGGACTCATTTTATCACCAAATCGGGCACATATGTAAGTAATAAACCACAAAAAATTATTTTGTTCCCATGTATAATTTGGAAATAAAATAATAAAATGTAAAAATAAGTTAAATTTTCAACTTTAACGGGCTCTAGCTCAAAAATGGGGGCTCAAATGAACAATATTTTGTATGAGTTGTACACTTATTTTGATGTCATCTATATGCTTCCGAATTAATGACATCTATTTTCTGGACACCCTATATTTTTATTTACGTTGTATTGATTGTTAAATTTTGTGCTTTGTAATTCAATAATTCACTCTCTATACCTATCATCTCAATCTAAAAATTAATATTTCTCAAAAAACGTTAATTTTATTAACTTCAAACAAAATTACTTTTTTGTTAGTTTTTCGATTAAATAATGTATTTAAGACATTTTTTTGCTTTATACAGATTGTGCCCATAAATGTTAATCAAATTGTTAAATGTTAATCACTGTGACAGAAGAAGGGATGTATCGGGACTGAAACAGATTCCGATAAGCTTTCAGCTACCCAATTTTACAAGTCAGATAAGTATTCCGAAACTCACCCATAATCAAATTACCTACACACCCCAAAAAAGAACCCATTGATCCCCACACGGTATTCAACCCCCACATTTCGACAAAATGCCCCCCAAAAAAACCATTCCCAAACCCCCTATTCCCAAAACAAAATCATTTTCCTCCATTGTTCAATCTTCCTCTACCACCCGACAATGGATACAAACCAACCCAACTAAACCCCACGAAGCTACCCCCTCACCCTCCAAAATACCCTCTTCCTATTCCGCCTCTTTTATTTCCTCTTCTACCTCCCTAATTACCTCACCCCTCTTATATTTTCACTTATTTCCCAAGCACCTACCCCAACCCCCACCCCTCAACAACTACCCCTCACCTCCATAATAATCCGAAATTTACCTCTAAAATACCGCTCCCAAAAGTAACTTTTCCTACTTCTTAACACCAACGAACTCCTTTTAAATGAAATCACTTACCTCAAAGCCAACTTTAATTAAACCGGTGATAATAACATCATCCTCATCCCCCTATCCAGCCCCTCCCCTAGCGGAAACGCTACCATCAAACCCCCCACTAAACCCACCTTTTCCTTCGTCGTAAAGAACATCGACACCGACGTTACTGACGAAGAATTCCAATCCGCTCTGAAAGACCAGGAAATCCCTTTTAAAAAATCTCCAGAGAATTATCTCCAAAGCAACCAACCCCCTACCAGACTCGTAAGGGTTATAACTGAGTCGGAGACTCACTATACTCGAGCGGTTACCCAAAGCATAGGTCTCCATGTCCAAATCCGCCCAGTCGAACCCTCCAACACCAAACCTATCCCCCCTATCCCGAAATTCTGCACCCAGTGTTTGCAAAACGGTCATTCCGCTAGCGAATGCTCCAATAAAATCACTTGCCCTACCTATGGTGAAAACCACAACAAAACCTCCTGCCCCAAAATCCAAACCCTCAAATGCTCCTACTGCCAGAGCGACCACCCCGCCTATTCCACTAGATGTCCCGAAAGACAAAAAGTCCCAGAAATACCCGAACAAGTCGCCCCAGTTTTCCCCCCAAAACCCGTTTCCCCCTATGAACTCACCACCGATGTAAAACTTACCATTCAAATAACCACCACCCTCCTCATGAATGTCCTCCCTAATAACCGCGAGCTGATTATTAAAACAATCGGCTTGATCATCCTGATCCTTTTCGGCCACTCCTATATAATAACAGGTAGTGGTAATTTAGCCTACTTCCCCTTCGCCCCTATCCTGTAATGGAAAGTACAATTGGAACTGTCAATTGCGCGGGCCTCGCCCGTAAACGAGCACTCCTAAAATCCCTCCTAACCCAACATCAATCCTCTTTCCTATCCCTAATCGACACCCTTACTCGTCTCCCCCCCACATTTACAGGTTATCAAATTTTCCACACCCCTAAAAACAATTCCTGCCGGGGTAACGCTATCCTAGTGAGACACGGAATCCCGCCTCTCGATAACCTGGACTGCTTAGCAATTGACATCTGACAAACTAATACCATTACCACCGTTATTTCCTTTTACAACCATCCTTCCAATATTCTCCCCTACCTCTATTCCAGTACATTGCCTCCCTTCCCCGCGTTATTCTCATATGCGATCTAAACTCCCGCCACACCCAGTTCGGTAATACATTTCCACTACCTAATCGACCTCCCTATCTCCCGCATCCCCAATTCATCCCCTATTTTTGTGGGTTACCAAGGATCCTCTATTCCTGACCACATTCTTTTCACGGAAACGTGCACTGGATGTGTAGGGGATGAGTGCTTCATTGGGCCCACAATAACCTCCGACCACCTACCCTTACTTGCAAAATCCACCATCTACCCCCCAAAACCCCACTCCGAATTTATCACCTTTAAAAATTACCGTAAGACCGACTAGAAGAAATTCCAAAACCACATAACCCAAAACCTACCCCCTCTTCAACCCCCCACCAACCCACTCGAAATCGAAACCTTTACCCAAAACCTATATTCCCTATTCTCAGATGCCTCGGATATTTCTACCCCTCTTACCACCCTTAACACCGCCGCCCATTCCATACCCCCTCATATCCTATCCCTTATTCGACAAAAACGTCATATCTATCGCCAATTCGTACGAACCCACGACCCCGTTCTAAAAACCGAGTGGAACCGCCACAACGCCCTGATAAGGGGTTTGGTAAATCAGTTCAAAGAGAAACAGTGTCTCGATCTCACACGTGGACTTGATTGCGGGGACGGTGCTCGGTTTTGGAACAAATTCAAAGTATTAACTGGACAAAAATCCAAGACCCACTCCCATCTCCTCATCAATGGTCAATTTCTCGTCACCAATGAACAGAAAGCAGACGCTTTTAAAACCCACCTCCAAGAAACTTTTTCTACTCAAAACAACCCCAATTTCAATCGAAATTTTTTCACTAAAACCGAAATTTTTGTCCGAAACCTTTTAAACCCTCTACGCCCCAACCCCCCTCCCCTACCTAACAACCCCCTTTCTCCGTTGCCGAAATTTCCGAACGCTGCAAATTCGGAAAAAATTCCGCCCCTGGCCCCGACTCAATATCCCGTCGCTCCCTAAAAAACCACCCCGATTCCATAATACCTAACCACCCTTATCCTGTCTCCCCTTTCACCCCAGGCCTGTCTCAACCTTTTCTACTTCCCCACCCTCTGGAAATCCTCCAACACCATACTTATCCGGAAACCCGGAAAGGACCCCACAACCCCTAATTCCTACAGACCCATCGCCCTCCTAAATGTCCTGTGGAAACTCTTTGAGCGACTGCTTAAGAAGCGTTTCTGGGAATTCCTGGACTCCCAAAACATTATTCCTCCTTTCCAAAACGGTTTTCGACAACATCACAGCTCCCAAAACTCCCTCCTAAATTTCCAAACCCAAATCACCCGCTCCCCTTAATCAAGAGTATGTCGCTTCCGCCATCCTCCTTGACGTCCAAAAAGCTTTCGACCAAGTCTGTCATGCTGGACTTGTTAGAAAACTCTCCCAAATAAATCTCCCCCTCCCCATCATCAAATTACTCCATTCCTACCTCCATAACCCAACTATAAGGGTAAAAGTGGGCAACCACATTACCGACCCCTTTCGCCCCTTCACCGGAGTCCCCCTAGGCTCCATCCTTGCCCCCTCCCTCCTATACCTTATTTACACCTACGACGTTCCCCCTCCTCACTCCCCTAACCCCCACATTCAACTCTATGCCGACGACACCATCCTGTTTACCACCTCCAAAAGAACCGAATCCCTCACACAAAAGGCCCAAAAACAACTCAACCTAATTTCCTCCTGGTGCGAAAAATGGCGAATCTCCTTAAATCTTAATAAAACCCAAACAATCCTTTTTACTCACCCCAATTTAACCCTTAACCGTCACGCAAATCCTAGGTTCTTCCGATTAAGGCTTTCAGGCGATTAGCTAACTGTTAAGACACCCTTAACAGGGTGCCACAGCGATCCGGTCTCATCAAGGCTTTGAGGGGAAGAATAAGGAAATGCCACCCTAAAACACTCATTCACACCTACAAAACCTTTATTCGCCCTATTTTCGATTATAAATCCATTGTCTATTCCACTCCCTTCCAAACCTCCAAAGTTTCCGAATCCTTACCACCAAACGAAAAACCCTTAGACAAACCCAATACCTACTAAAGCTACTATTAAAACGTATCAAAAATATGATATGTCATTTTTTTGGACGAATGGGACAAAAACCTATAATATCAAACCATTTTTCTTTCGCTCAATATCTGCAGGGAAATAAAAAAATGCTTTTGAAGAGTATTATCTTCATTATCTTGTAATATCTTACAAGTACCAAAATTAATAATCAATTATTCACAAACAATTTACATGGACAACTTGTAAAAACGAATTATTTAAGAAAAAGGCAGAAAAGTAAGTGTTAAGTAAACTTTTAATATCATCAAACCTATTAGGTTTAGTTATAGGGAAGTAAACATTAACTTCCCCCAATTTTTTACCGCTGATTTTAATAAAACAGAAAAAAATAGGTGATTCCATTTAAAAAAATGAAGAAATTTGTTATTTTTGAAGTTCAACTTTTCACATTTTTTATACACACCCTGTATACAAATAGGAGGTTTTCAACACAAGTTCAAATACCTTTGATCTGTGGCGCCCCTGCAGAAGCCCTCGCCTAGGCGACGCAAACAGCTCCTCGTGGCCCGTCAAGTATTCGCCGTCCGGCCGAGACGTTAAAGGCCACGAGCGAGTTGACAGACGACAGACGACGGACAAACGGAAGCCGGGACTTCACTTCGGTCTAAACTTCGAACTCGATAGCACGTGCTCACGACGGAGTTGCACACCCGTCTGTAACCTTTCTGATTTCTTAAATCAATAAATTTCTATATGTGAGAGGGTGATCGGATTATTATTTACGTGCTACCCCGTTACCCATCTCCAAATATCTACTCCGAAGCGGGAAAAAATTTTAAATTTCCGAGATATTTCGACTTTTTGTCAAAAAAGTAGTAATTTCCAGCGAAATTCTACAAGAAAATCAAATTATCTCGAAAACTATTCAAGGTAGTAGAACGGAAGTTTCACCATTTTGTAGAGAAAAGTTGTTTTCTACTTTTTTGAATAATTTCGAAAAAACATTAAATTTCCAATCTAATCTAATGATGAAATAACGTCACCGTTGACGATTTACATTTGTGCAGAAATATGAAGAGAGTTTTTGAAAGTTTAATTGAACAAGAAAATTGGTATAAAGAATCTGGCAACATCGCACCGAACGGATCCACTTCCTCATTCCTGCGACTGCGCTTGCGCAATACGAACCGGCATCGGGGGATTTGTTTTGTTCCGATCGTAGAAAGCGGGCCGGTGGTTTGAGACTTGGGACGCGCGAATTTCTGGTAGCTGGATGCCTGAAAAGAAAGAGTCCAGTTTTCGTAGTTGGATGTGAATGTAGGTACTTATTATAGGCAACCAAGATTACGTGAATATTGGCTCGTATTCGGTGCTTTATTTTAAATGTAAGAGGCGTTTTCAACTTGACATTTTTAGATTGGTTGTTATGGAGTAACTAGGGAGATTCTTTCATTATTTGACAGCTTTACATTGTTGTAATGGAGTAACTATAGGGAGATTTTTTCATTATTTGACAGTTTTACATTGTTGTTATGGACTAACTAGGGAGATATTGTCATTATTTGACAGTTTTACATTGTTGTTATGAAGTAACTAAGGAGATTCTTTCAATTGACAGTTTTACATTGTTGTTATGGAGTAACTAAGGGGATTCTTTCAAATTGACTGTTTTACATTGTTGTTATGGACTAACTAGGGAGATATTGTCATTATTTGACAGTTTTACATTGTTGTTATGGAGTAACTAGGGAGATTCTTTCTTTATTTGACAGTTTTACATTGTTGTTATGAAGTAATTATAGGGAGATTTTTTCATATGATAAATTTTACATTGTTGTTATGGAGTAACTAAGATTCTTTCTTCCATTAGAACGCTCCAGAATAATTTAAAACCATTTAAGACAAGAATTCAGTACTCACAAAATATTTTATTTGATAATAGGCAACTTAATTACACCTAGGCATTTTACGCCTATTATTTTCAGAGTACCAAACTCTAGCCTTAAAACGCACCAGAAATTGGAAACGTTTCTTTATTGCAAAATATTTTTCAATAATCATGTTATTTTAATTTAACCTTTCGTTTCTAAATAATTTTCTTCTTATCTTATCACCATCCTCCTCGTAATCATCATCATCTTCCTCATCCTCGTAAGTATAACAACTGAATTGAGCTTAATCATCATCATTATCATCATCACAGTTATCATCATCGTACCCACCGGCTTGAACTTGTCTACCGAATTTACGATTCAGAGCTAAAAAAAATAACAAAAAATACAAAAAGTGCCCCCTGAATTCAATTCAATTACAAGACACTTCAACTCTTTTAATTTGCGGCGTCTCAAATTCGCATTTAGGCCAAAATTATTCCTTTATTCTTCACCTATTCGAATACTTTTCTTCCAAATATCAACCTAAATTATTCCACGATTGACCTACAAATTGTATTACAAGTGTGAGTATAATCATTACGAGTAATTGTATTTGTACTTACAATTGTAATTCTAGTCCTCGAGTAACTTCCACGAAATTCTGAATGTTTGAAATTGATCTTTATTGTAGAGAAATTTGTTGTAAAACGAGCACCGAAATTTCATTCTTTTCGGAATATCTGTGGCGCCGTTGCCAATTCGCGCGCCCCATCGACGCAAGCAGCACCTCGTGCCTCGACAGGTCTTCGCGGCTACCCCGCGATGTTAGAGGCCACTCTAGTACGACAAGTGACAGCCGAAGCGACACTTGACGTAGAACTTCAACTACGAACTTCCCCTGGCACACACGATTTCGCCGACTCCAACGTGGACGCCGGTTTTATCCGTTTCTATCGGCCGAAATAATCGGCATCGTTTTTGCTGTACACGAGTAATATAAATGAGCCAATAAAGGACATTAAGGGACATGATATTTTCTTCCTACCCTTCGCTCCTTTACAAATTGGCCAAATATCTCCACAATTATCCTCCTTCAGGGGTCACTAGGACGTTTAGTAGAAGTCGAAAATGGCTCTCCAGATGAATTGAAAGATGATTTTCTTCCTCGAGTAACTTCCACAAAGTTCTGAATGTTCGAAATTGATCTTTATTGTAGAGAAATTTGTTGTAAAACGAGCACCGAAATTTCATTCTTTTTGGAATATCTCCACAATTAGCCTCCTTTAGGGGTCACTAGGACGTTTCGTAGAAGTTGAAAATGGCCCTTCGGATGAATCGAAAAATGATTTATAGTCGAGTAACTGATTAAAAAGTACTTTTACCATTTTACGTTTTCTTTTCCGGAATTTTTAGAAGTTTTCTTCCCTTAGAGCCGTTTGTAACTATGTTTATTTCAATACTAATTTAAGTATTTAAAATTTTCATATTGAAAAAGACGTATTGAATTTTAGAGTTTGTCAAGTCTGTGCTTGCGATTGTAGTAATTGTAAAGTCAGTTTTTCAGTGCGTAAGCATGCGCAGTAATCGGTTTCACTTAACCTAATTTAAAAAAGAAAATAGAAACTAACCTAACAAAATTTAATGTCATAAAATGGATAAAATGCCTTCAATTATGGAAAAAAATACACTGTGCACAGTGGGGATAATTGTAATAATGATGATGATGACAAAAATTAAAAATAAAGCTATAAAAAAAAGAAACGTTCATCGACTAGAAAATGGATTCAAAGGAGGACGAATGGTAGAGGAATATTAAATATGTTGAACGAAGAGTTACTGACTGAGGACCCAGCAGCATATAAAAACTTTTTGCGTATGAACAACAATGTTTTCGAACAATTATTGGGACTAGTTTCTAATAAAATAATGAAACAAGATACACATTTTAGGGAAAGCATCTCAGCAAGATGCAGGTTTGTGTAGAGAAATAAAAGTACCTACAGCAACATCATAAAAATATTTAACTTATTTTGTAGGTTGGAAACAACATTACGGTTTTTGGCAACTGGGGAAACATTTCGCTCGTTGATGTATTCTACTCGAATCCACGAGAGTAGCATTTCTAGATCTCCACAATTAGTCTCCTTTAGGGGTCAATAGGACGTTTCGTAGAAGTCGAAAATTGCCCTCCGGATGAATCAAAAGATGATTTTCTTCCTCGAGTAACTTCCAAGAAGGTCTGAATGTTCGAAATTGATCTTCATTGTAGAGAAATTTGTTGTAAAACGAGCACTGAAATTTCATTCTTTTTGGAATATCTCCATAAATAGCCTCCTTCAGGGGTCACTAGGACGTTTCGTAGAAGTCGAAAATGGCTCTTCAGATGAATTGAAAGATGATTTATAGTCGAGTAATTGATTAAAAAGTACTTTTACCATTTTACGTTTTCTTTTCCGGCATTTTTAGAAGTTTTCTTCCCTAAATTTCCTATTTACTCTTCGATTATTCCGAACCTAACCTCAAATGTCACTCGTCTACTGTCATTACTGTCAAATTTGTAAGAAGCTTCAGTTGACGGTCATATATTATAAGGTCTGGAAACTTGAATTTGCGTAGTTGCTAAATCGACCGGTAGGCATCAATGTTGTAGAGGATATTTTTTGGATTCAACATTTAGCTTGTTACAGGTTGCCACAATTTGGATGTTTACAGAGCTTATATTGAAGTAAACTATTATAAACATCTTCATTCAACTAGATAACGCCAATAACACAAGTCGAGTTTCCAGACCTTGTAGTATACGATCGTGCTTTTGTTTATTGGCCAATTCTTTGCACCGTTTTCGTTTTAGTGATTTTTTTAAGATATAAACAGATAATAGTACTAAATAGTACCTATTTTGTCTACGGTGTATGTACATACGACAATTCTCTACTCAATTTCCTCGACCTTTTACCTGTTATATCAATTGAGCCGATTGAGCGTTTGTGATTGGTCATCCTCACATAGGGTAATCCCAGATAAAGAGAGGAATATTTGGCAACGTCGCATTTTCCACAAATTCCACAGCACAGCGCTTTTTTACTTCTTTCTTCACTGGAAGTCTGAATCTAAACTCTCTGTATCTGTTCGAGTGCCTTACTAAATTAAAACGTAGTGAGAAATTAATTCATCGAGATTAGTTACTGTTTCAGTTGTGTTAATTGAATCACCGGAAAAATAGCAAAGGTCTGTATAATTATTACATAATTTATAAGTTTATTTAGGTGTTAAAGAGTTAAAATATCGATAAATATTGTTTTTATTAAATCGTCAATATCGTGGAAATGGCTTTATAAAACACAATTGTCTTTTATATACCGAAATAAATGAATATTTTAATTCACTTTAACTATAATTGGAAGACACTTCTGAACTATCCAAAGACTAAAAGAAGGAATTCAATTTTTTTTAAATATTTTCGTTAGTAAATTATCTCATAAAAAATGGCGACTCGGTAGGTAATTAAAAAAAACAAGAAAACAAATATCGAGTCACGTACAGTTTTGCTTATAATGCAAACTAAACAGGAAGATGTATTTTTGCTTAATAAACTATTTCTTTATTTTCAACAATAAGTTGTATCGATTATTTTGTTTATTCAAGTTGATTGTTAAATATTCGGTGAAGCACCGGTAGACATATTGCTTTTTATATTAGAAAATTTTATTTTTATTTTATTTTCCCAATGCTTTTTCGCCACAGCCACGTTTATGGTACGGAAAAATCATTTTGTAGCCGGTCTAGCATGCGGTCTACCGTAATTTTTGCGGTCTACCCATACATATTTCGTCGTCCAAGTAAATTTAAATACTTTGACAGGTGTCATATTTTGCAAAATTGATGTACTGGTTGTGAAACATGTCTCACAAAACTGCAAATATTAAATTTGTACATTTAAATTTTTTTTTATATCCAAACAGATTTCTGTATAGTAAACATCGAAAGAAAAACTCAACCTCTATAATTCTGATTCCTCCGCAATTCTTAATTAATTGAATTACTTTCTTGCTCTTCCAAACATAAATTATTATATACTCGTTATACAGGGTGTCCCAATGAAAAATAGCCCCTTTAAATACAAAATACAAAAATGAATGAGCTATAGTCGATTTCCAAAATAGTAGGCACTAAATTCTCGGAAATAATATCGCTTTAAAACGAAAACATTGTTGTCAGGTTGTGATTCTTAATATTTAGTATCTTCTATTTAAATGATTTACAAGCTGCTAAATAGCCATAGAATAACGGACAACGTGTTTTATTCATTAAAGTATCGTTTTGCTAATTAAATGTATTCAATAAATACAATGTTTATTAAAAGAAATGCAGAAATTAAATAATGTTATGCGTCTCAAACTTATAAATGGCAACCTTGCGTTCATCGAGCTTTTTCTTAGGCGGAGAAAAGAACAACATATTAAAGTTGCCGAAAGGTAGAGGGAGATGTACATATTAGCCGAATCGTTGACATAGGTCAGGTTAAAATTCATGAGCGTAACATTAAAATGCAGGTAATTAATATACACTTTTTTAACTGCATTCAATTCGATATTTTGTAATTTATAGTTAGATTTCAATTTTTGATTATAGTTCATCATCCGAAGAGTTTTCCTCAGAAGATAATGATTATTAATATAATAATATTTGTATATAAATATAATAACATTTATTACATAATCCTTGCTCTGATAATTATTAGTCTCTTGCTAATTTTCACGTCGAACAACCTTGTAGCCCACGATATTTTCCGTACGCCACTGGGAGAGACCCATTATCGCAAATTCTTCACAATCATTTCTGAGAATTTAGTGCCTACTATTTTGGCAATAGACTATAATAATTTTTAAACGACTAATCGTAAAGCTTGCGGTTTTCGAAGATATATTTTAATTTGCTATAACTTTTTGTTACAGTAACACAAAAATTTCGTATCAACTGTAGAGGGTGTTTCATAAAAATCTCCTCTTTTAAATTCACATTAACCAAATTTTATGAAATAGGACATTTTCTTTTGTAGAATAACATGTACAAATAATACATTTTTGAAAAGTAGAAGAGTATATCATTCACAATACCTCTATATATACGGGGTGTTCCATTTAAAAAAAATAGTAACTGTGAATTTAAAAGAGATGATTTTTATTCAACACCCTGTATTGGTAATGCATAATTTCTGTATCACTGTAACAAAAATCATTTTTGAGAAAACTTTTCATTGGGACACCCTGTACTTATAAAATCTTTTCGTTTGTTTAATAAAGATACCTAGGTATATTTAAGTTTAAATAAATACTGGTACTTCCCCAATTTTGTATAAATTGAATTACCCACATGCTATTCTATAAATAATGACAATAACATTTTTTTTCTCTAGCTTAATGTAGGATCATTTTTCAAAATCTTGCTGTTGTACTTTTGTATAAAAGAAAATTGGGTAGACCGCTCCCTCATTTTTTTACTCATATTACATCTATTCTTAATATTTTATAGAACTTTTATTATGCCTGTTGAGATAAGCTTCGGAATACTTACTGGTAAGTAGGCAACTCATTTTACATTTCTTTGATTCAAATTGACTCTCCATTACAGTCAGCGACAGTAGTTATGCGGGTAAAGGCAATGATTCATCAAGTCCTGAATTAAAAGAAGAAATATTAAAGGAGTTTCCATCGGCCGAAATAAGCGCAATAAAAATCGTACCAGTGGATATGCAGGAAATTAAATCGACTCTAACAGAATGGTTCGACTTGAAAATCAACGTAATATTCATAACAGGCAATTTACCAGACATAATCTTTGCTATGATTATCAGTAGCTTGAAGATCAATCCAATGGCGATGCTCTCCAGACCCTTGAGCTATATTAAAGACAACACGATGATAGTAAATCTGCCGGGAAGCCCCGAAATGGTTTCGGAATGCTTTGGTATCATCAAGGAAGCCTTACCCCTCGCTTTGGAGCTCCTAACAGAACAAAAAAAAATCTGTGGTTTCTGGTCACGAAGCCATTCTGAGCGACTCTGGAGCATCCGTTTTCCCAACCACCAGCCTTAGTAAGGTAATTTATAAAATTAACAGCTTCGACATCAGCGAAGGTACTATTACTCAATTCGAATTTGTCTTTATTTTTGTAGGTGAAACTGGCTCCATTAAGAAAATACTGCTACCCTATTATCGATGTTGAAGTTGCTTCTGCTATTATTAAGGATATTTGTTCTGATAAAGAGGAAACCACAGAAACGGTGCCTTTGGAGAGATCGCTTAATCGAATTGTAGCAGAAGATTTTTGTGCTGAAGAATCGATTCCTTCATTTGCAACTTCGATTATAGATGGTTACGCGGTTAAAAGGAGCGATGGGAAAGGAATACGTGTTGTGAAGAATGTCGCAACTGCAGGAGATAATGTATGTAGATACATTTAAGAGATTTCTAAAGAATGAGCTCATTAGAATTGTAATAAATGAAGTTTGTAATGTTGCAGCCAATCGATGAAGTTCTGAAGTCAGGCGAAGCGAAAAGAATATCGATGGGAGATCCAATTCCTGCGGGAGCAGACGCAGTGGTACCAGTGGAAGATACATCAGTAGATAAATATTCGATTGATGGTTCTAAAGTAATTAAGGTGGAAATCAAAAGAGCACCCAACTATAATGGAAACATAAGGTAAGGGAAAATTTTTAAATACAATTGTGGAATATCTAGTAATTTTTTTAGAGGAATCGGAAGCGACGTATCGAAGAATTCTTTGGTTTTAAAAAAAGGCGAACGTATCAAACATTTCTCTCTTGGAGTTTTAGCCATGTTAGGAAAAACAAATATTTTGGTTTATAAGTAAGTTGAATTATTCAGTTTCCTAAAAGTTCCTTCCTTTACTTTAATACATTTTTTTCTAGACGCCCTTCTATAGGAATCATATCAATTGGCAATTATATTTGTGAACCTAAAGAAGAACTAGCCCCTGGCAAAATCAGAGATGCAAATAGATTCACCTTAATTAATTTGCTTAAAAAATACCGTTATAAATCAAACGATTGTGGTATAGCTAAAGACAAGTAATAATTAATCCTGATGTATTTGATACTTTTTTAATACAATAATTTTTAGTCCTGATGCAATAAAGCAAGCTCTTGAACAAAGTTTTACTCGTAACGATGTTATTATAACGAACAGTTCAATGGGAGAATTGGACATGTTGAAACGGGTTCTCGTCGAGGATTTTCAAGCTACTATACATTTTTGCAGGATAAAGATGAAACCCGGGTAAGTCAAAGTTTCGTAATTTGAAAGATTTCAATGATTAAATGATTATGATTTTGTTATAGAAAATACACGACCTTTGCGACACTTATGTATAATGAAACATTGAAAATCGTATTTGGCCTAACGAGTTATCCATCTTCCTGTGCAATAACTTGTATATTATTCGTTATTCCTGCTCTACGCTTAATGGAAAAATCTCTCTACGAACGTTTTGTACCTATTTCTGTGCCACCAAATTCATTTAATACAGTAAGTAAAAATTTTGTTGACATTGGAATAATTATTCCAATTACATTTTGTTTGAAATAACTAAGCTCCACATTTTCCTAAAAACTTTATTTTTCTAATACAATCCGTTCGCTATCAGGAGATACTAATAAAACCTAAATTTGCAAATAATATGAAAAGTAGGTAATTAATATGGAAAACACATCAGGCGCGAATCAATGAAAAAAATCATAAAATTCCAAAACGTTACAGCTTTTACCATTGTATAATTGTTATGTTTATTTTACTTTATTAGTTCTCTTAGTATACAGTGTATTACCTGTTACTAGGTTGTATTTATTTGTTAGTGCCCCTATAAATTACTGCTTTATTATTTTTTTACTATTTCTTGATAGGAAACAAAGTATAGAATATAATATTACAATAAATTTCATTTTTTAGTTATCGAGACGGTATAATAAAGATGATTGTCTAGAGTACCGACTAGTTCAAGTAAACCTCGTTTCGACTTCAGTTAGATGTCAAATATACAGCGCATTAACTGGTTTAGATATAACAAACGGTTTACTTATACTTGAGCCAAAGAAAGATTACTCAATTAAAGATTCAAATGGAGACTATCGCAATCTTTACAAGATAATATTATTTTATGAGAATTATTATCAGTGAAATGGGCTGTATTATTAAATACAATCTCTGGTGTTTCTTCTAATTTTAAAATAATACCAATACGTTCTTTTGATCAGTTAACAGTTCTTTTAATTTTTTCAGTTTCAGTTTGTAATAAAATATTTAATTAGTATTTTTGCTTTATTTAATCCTTATTGAAAGATTATTTGTTGCGTTCTGTAAATACATAAATATGTTCTTTATATCCTTTATATCCTGAATATGCCAGTATGTTGCTGGTTCAAAATGTATACTTTTCCCAAAAAATGAACCAAATCGAAATAACTACCATAAAGATACAGGGCGATTCATTCCGAAACGGAAAGATTTTAACCCTATATAGAGGTCACCCAGGGGATCCCAAAAAACCTATATAGTATGGGTCTTACGCAAAAGTAAAAAGTTGATGGTAATATTCAGTTATTTGTGCTCTTTCCAAATTTGCAATTCAATATTTAAAAATTCAATGTACAGGGTGTTGTTTTGGGGATAGTCAAACTTTAATAATTTTTATTAAGCCGGACCTGGATTTTGAATTTTTTAGTGTATCGATAAATTGTTCAAAAAGATGTAGATTATCTGTGAAAAATATGAAATAATTATACTGAGTGATTCAAAAGTTATAAGCCCTAAAATAAATGGGCTAAATTCAAAAAACGCCCTGTAACTCGGTTATAAAGAGCGTAAGACCCATACTATACAGGGTGTCTACTATAAAAACCGCCAAACTTCAGGAGGTGATTATACAAGTAATTTTGAACAAAAAAATGTCCTATAACACTTTTTCGAAAAGTCGATAGTTTCTCTGTTATTTAACATTTCATTATTTTAAATTTTTTTTTGGCTTTTTTCCAAAAAGACCGAAATATCACATTTATTCGTATAGTCACATTAATTTTGATCATATACCGTAAAAGTGCATTAAATTTGCTATAAAAAAAGTATTTATCGAATTGTAGCGAATGATTTTGAACCGTTTAGAGTTAGGTTTTTGCTCACGCCAGAATCATTAAGAACTCTTTAGAATCATTTAGAACTGTAAAGAATGATTTAGAACCGCCTAGAACAATTTAGAATGCTTCAGAAAGATTAAGAACGGTTTAGAATAACTCTTGATTACTCTTTCAAGCATTTCCACAGGAATTTTGGCGATTTGAGCTCAAATGTTATTTTTGAGGGCTTCCAGGGTCCTAGGAAGTTCATTATAAATGTTTGACTTCAGGTATCCCCACAGGAAAAAATCACAAGGTGCCAATGGTGGAAATGCTTGAGAGGGTACACGAATCGTTTAAAAAAGACTTGCTCAATGTTTGGAGTGTGAGGGGCGCCAATCAATCATTTTACAAGGTTTGTTAATTGTTAAAATGTACAAGTATTTTTTAAATCTTAAGTACCTGCAATCACGTTGGGAAGTTCATCGATTGTTACATTGGATTGCCTGGAAGAATGCATGATGCCAATGTCTTCAGGAATAGCCCTCTACATAGAGCTCTCTGCAAGATGATGTCAATTTCAAATCCGGTCTAATTGCTCTTCAAAAAACCGCTCTCAAATCGTTCTAAAAATGCTTTAAAATTGATCCGGTTTAATAACCGATTTAATTGCTTTTCAAAAACCCCTTTAAATTCGCTTAAAAATCGCTCTAAAACTAATTCAAAACCGTCATAAAACTGCCTTCAATATCATTCTAAAAATATTTCAAATCCAATATAATTGCTCTATAAAAATCGCTCTAAAACCGCCGTAAAAATTGATCCAATTACTCTTAAAACTGTTCTAATTGTTCTTCAAAAATCGATTTAAAAACATCCCTTAAACTAACTGCTTCATAATTGCTCTAAAGTCGACTTAATAACCGATCTTAAACCTAATTGCTCTTCAAAAACCGCTCTAAAGCTTCCCTAAAGCCGCTTCAAAACCGCCTTACAAAACTGATCTTGTTACTCTTAAAATTGTTCTAATTCTTCTTTGTAAAGGAAAATGTTGAGTTTTTTATAAAAATAACCATTTTCTAACGTTTTATATTTAGCTATTTTAAAGCTTTTTTATATCATTTTTAATGTCATTGTAATGTCATAATAGAATGTAACGAAAATCTTTTTTTTGCTATTAATTTGAAGATTTTCATTCATCTTCGACCGTTTTATTCCTGTCTCTTGAATGCTCTTTCTTCGTTACGAATTCTGTTAAGGCGAAGATTAAATTTTTTATGATCAATAACCCTTTTTATAACTATTTTTTGTTAATTTTTAGGAATTTTTAAACCTTTTTAAATCATTTCGAAGGGATGATTAGAATGAAGAATAGAAAATTAGGAGGAAATTCATCTTTAGAAAACGTAATTAAAACGAACCGGAATAATTTTTGGAGTATTTCTGCGATTTTCTTCGTTCGATCGAAATTCATTAGCCTCTTCAAAATCACGTTCAAAACCGTTTCAAAACTGCTTTAATTTCTGTTCAAAAACCGGTTCAAAATCGTTCTAAAAACCGCTTTAATAACGGATCTGATTGCTTTTCAAAAACCGCTCTTAAACCGCCTTAAATACGATTTAAAACCGCTCCGAAAACTGATCTAACTACTCTCAAAACTTATATAATTATGGATCTTCAGAAATCATTCTAAAACTGATTTAAAATTCTTCTAAACCCGGTTTAATAACCGATCTGATTGCTCTTAAAAATCGCACTTAAATCCGATGGTCTGAATAATTCTGAACAGTTTTAAATGGTTCTGGAGCGTTCTAAAGGGTTCATAGACAGCTCTAAACGATTTTGGAGCGTTCTAAATGGTTCTAGTCAGTTTTAAATGAATCTGGAGCGCTCTACAATGATTTTACTGATTTTAGACTTTAGTTCTAAATCATTCTGAAAAGTTCTAAATAATTAGTGAAGCATTCTAAACGGCTCTAGAAAGTTCTAAATGGTTCTAGACTGGAATCTAAATTGTCCTAAGCTGTTTTGAATCGTCTTATAATTATCGATAAAGACAATAATTAAGATAATCAGACCGATTTATTAGAGATGGGCAAAACTGCTATTTTTAAAAAACAGTCGTAACTGCTAATGTCCACTCCAAAAACTCGATAAGACCGTTCTAAAACAGCTTTGATTGCGATTCAAAACCGCTCTAAAAACCACTTTAAAAGTGCTCCAAAATCTTTCTAAAACAGCTCTAATTCTTACAAACCTATCACGAACTTATCAAGTAGGTTCTACTCTAAAACATAATTACGTTTCGAATACCTTTTAAAACTCTCCAAAAATCGACGTAAATCAACGTAAATTCAATTACGCTTTAAAAACCGCTCTAAAACCGCCCCAGAAACAACCTCAAAAGCTTAAATACTAACTTAAGAATTGGGTTATAACATACAGAGTATCCCAAGTAAAGCAAGGATGTGATTCAGCATGAAACACCCTGTAGTTTGGGAGAAGTACAGGAGCAGTTTCAAAGCGGTTTTAAGGGTTAATATTTGAAGCGGTTTTGAAACGTATTTAGAACGATTTTTGAGAGTTTAGAGCAGTTTAACGATGGTTTTTGCGAGTAGTTTTAAAAGGGTTTTTGGGGCGATTTAAATTTGGTTTTAGAAAGGTTTTAGAGCGGGTTTTGAAGCTATTTTATAGCGATTTTGGAAAGGTCAAAGAGCAGTTTCTGTAATTGTTTTTAAAGCATAATTTCAGTCGTTTTAGAGTTATTTTTGTAGCTTATATTATAGCGTTTTTTGAGGCGGTTGTAGAACGGTTTAAACCAGTTTTATAGCGTAATTAGAGTTTATTTAGAACGATTTTAAAGACGTTTTTGGGACGGTGTATAATAGTTTTTGAAAGGGCTTTGAAGCGGTTTTTGAGCGATTTTATGAAGCTTTTTGGGAGTTGTTTTAAAGCGGTTTTGGGGCGATTTAAAATTTGGTTTTAGAGAGGTTTTAGAGCGATTTAGGGGTGGTTTTAGAGAGGTTTTAGAGCGGTTTAGGGGTGGTTTTAGAGATGTTTTAGAGCGGTTTTTAAAGAGTAATTAGATCGGTTATTAAACCGGTTTTAGAGTTATTTTGAAGCAGTTTAAGGAATGTTTTTAAAGCGATTTCTGAAGAACAATTAAAACAG